ACTGTTCTCAGGAGAGTGTGATAAAAGCAAAGAGAACACTAGCAAAATAAAAATAAAATAAAAATTTAAATTTCTAGGAAAAAAATCTTTATCTAACTAATTCTCTTCAGGATTCCCAAGTTCATTCCGTAACTATTAGCTCAGAAAACAAAAACAGGGGGTTGGGGATTTAGCTCAGTGGTAGAGCACTTGCCTAGTAAGCACAAGGCCCTGGGTTCCGTCCTCAGCTCAAAAAAAAAAAAAAAAATTAAAGATGCATAAAGAGCTAAAGCAGTATCAACTGGGGAGCCATTTCCTTTAGGTAACAAAGGTATTTTGCTGTTCTAATTATGCTACATAAAACCCATAAGTGGCATGTACCTTTATCTCAGAGGCAGGCAGAATTACATTTTAAGACCAGGTCTTAAAAAAAAAAAGGCCAGTAAGATGGCCCAGTAGGTAAAGGTGCCTGATGCCAAACCCAATGCCCGAGTTTGATCCCCAGACCCCACAATGTAGGAGAAAACCAACTTCTGAGTTGTCCCCCGACCACCACACGCACTGGCCACTGGCGATGAAACTTGTGAGTCTCCTAGTGTTGCAGTGCTAGGGACCGAACCCAGGGCCTCACACAGGCACACTATAGCTCTACTCCTACCTTTCTGACTCATCTTCTAGAGGCTGAGGACGGAAACAGTGACTGGGCAGACACCAAACCCTGACAGTCAGTAGTCCCCACTGGTGTGTGTGTGTGTGTGTGTGTGTGTGTGTGTGTGTGTGTGTGTGTGTGTGTGTGTGTACACGCTGAGGATGGAAACAGTGACTGGGCAGACACCACACCCTCTGACAGTCAGTAGTCCCCACTGGTGTGTGTGTGTGTGTGTGTGTGTGTGTGTGTGTGCACGCTGAGGACGGAAACAGTGACTGAGCACACACCAAACCCTCTGACAGTCAGTAGTCCCCACTGGGGTGTGTGTCAAATGATGGCTGCCGCAAAGCTGGAGCTCCAGGTGGTTTGTGGCCCATGACCTAGACAACTGTGCTCATCACAAAACCTCCATTAGAATTATCTTGGCTTTATGAACATTCATTTCTCTGCACTTCAACCTACAAAATCTAAAAACAGCAGACTTGGTGCCAGATTCCATTTTATCATCCTGCCAATAACTAACAAGCAGTAACTACCAAAAGAAAAGGATTACATTCCTTTCCTTGAGGGATGGATCACTGTTACATACAAATCGAACTGAATCAACCTACCCCAATCAACTTCTTCTCAATAACTGCAAAGCAACTCAAATCAGAAGGCAAAAACACTGTCAGTTTCCTCCGACTGACTGACTGACAGCTCCAGGAGTCACCCAACTGTCAGAAGTAGATGGTCATAACGGTTTAACACATAGGGCAATAGGTGACTGGACTCAACAGTCAGAATTTACTGTCATCTGATACGGAGAAATACAAACTAAGATGTTCCTACTGGAAATCAAGTACAAACTCCACAATTCAGACACAGCCAGACACCCAGCTTCTAATTCTTTGGAGTCAATGTTTCCGAAGATCCTCGGTGAGTTTCTTAACCTCCAAGCAGAGAATCAGTCGCCATCATCTGCTTGAACTGTGCAGTTTTTATTTCTCATATGAATGAAGGAACTAGCTTAAAAACTACGCCCATCTTCTCATAGATGTTTTTCTGGGCCATGTGTCTACTGCATGGACGTACTCTTTTTAAGTCAACTGGTGAGCTTAAGTTGTATACTTGACTATAATGTAAATTAAATCAAACATAATTGAGTGCATTACTGTAATGTCAGTTTAACAGAGGGCAAAAGACTGGAAACATTAAATATTTTAGGGGTTTCTTTAAGTATAATCAACATATAATAAACTACACATACTAAAATGAATAATTTGATAAATCTTGGCATATTTATATAAATACCTAACTTCTGAAAACCCCATCTTCTAACTCCCTTTTTATTTTGTCAAAAAAACTAAAGGGACTTTTGTTATGTGAGTACTTACTTTCATGTAATTCACAATCTTCGCAAGAACACCAAACTTATATCCAGAGCTTCCAGATAGTGCTTTCAAGTTAAATGATCCATTGCTATGATCTGAAAATAAAGTTCAAAAGAATTATTATAATATTTTCATATAATATGCTATTATGACTTGAGCAATGAAAATGATTTTAACTTTGGTAAAATATTTTTCTTTGAATTATTTCATCTAATGAAGTCTATCCTGTAATATTTTGGCAAAACTCACAAAATCCATGTATGTTTGTTGAATCATCAATTCCCACCCCTCACCCACCCTTCTTTAGAGAGAGGGTCTCACTCTAGTACACACTGGTCTTGAACTCACCATCCTCCACCTCAGCCTCCAAAGTGCTGGGACTATAAGATTATGACATATCCTAGGCTAACTATAATTTAAAAGCATTAAAATAGTTTGGGGAAGGAGAGTGCTGGGGGTCAAATTCAGGGCCTGTGTGGATTAGGCAAGCACTCTAACAGTGAGCTATACCCCTAGCCCAAATACAAACACTTTAAACTTGTTGTTGTCTGTTTTAAGATAAGAGTCTTAACTAGTAGACCAGGCTAGCCTCCAAATCAGAGAGATCCACCTGCCTCAGCCTCCTCGGCTAGAATTAAAGGCCTGTGCCACCACACCCAGCTCAAAATACAATTCTCTTACAAATACCTTGATCACATTCTACTCCCACCTTAAACTTGCTTAGAGTCCTCCAATAATTAGACAAGAGAACATTATAAATATAAGAAATGAGTGATGGATGGATAGACATCTATCACCCCATAATGCCCTCTTCATCTCCCTTACCCCCCACTTCCTCTCTCAGAAATCTTTACATACTGTTTCAAAATGTTTACCATTTTGTCGCCTCCCTACAGACAGAGCCCTGATGCCATCGCTGTATCACAATGCATTTGAGCCAGACAGAAACATTACAGAATTCACTATAAATACAAGAAAAGCATTTCCGACACACACACACACATTCTATTAGCAAGGCAGCAGGTCAGATACCAACTGCCCACACAGCTGATACACAAGGAGAGTGGGACTAAAGAAAAAAGAGGGGAAGCCATCTCTGGCATCAGCTTGGTAATAAGCATTTCAACAGAAGATTGCATTACCACAACCACAAGTCAAATATAGCAATTGTCAGAGATCCAAAACAGATTCTAGATGCCACATAATACCCCATTTGAAATCAGTAAAAAGTGTTTACTGAATGTTTTCTGTCCTTTGATACTAAAATGCAATGTCTTTTGGAATTTTCCCTTAGAAATAGCTTATACTTTTGAAAAGTAACTCGATTGGCATATTAAAGTCTACTATGCTTCCAAAACTAACAGTAATATTAAGAATGCCTTACTGATATGCATTTCCAAACGATTTCAAAAGCCAGGGGTAGTGGCATAATCTATAATCTTGAAATCTGGTAGGCTGAGGCAGGAGGATGACAAAAGAGGAGGTACATGGGAGGGGTCAGAAGGAGGAAAGAGAGGGGAAATGGCATAATTATATTATCTCAAAAAAATTAAAATAAAAAAACCCATTTGCTGTTCTTCCAGAGGTCACATGAATTCAGTTCTCAACACCTACATCTGGCAGCTCACAACTCTGGAACTCTAGCTCCAGGAAATCTAATACCCTCTTCTGGACTCCAAAGGCATCCATCCATTAAACACACTACACACACACACACACACACACACACACACACACACACACACACACACACACACTATTTTAAGTTCATACTCTGCTACATAACAAGTCCAGGGCTATCCTGGGCTACAGAAGACCCTATCTCAACAATAGAACTCACTATGCAGACCAGGCCAGCCTCTGCTACTTGAGTGCTGGAATTCAAAGTGTGCACCACCACGCCCAGCTCTCCCCTTTTAAGAGCTACTCCTTGGACTGGAGAGATGGCTCAGAGGTAAAAGCACTGGCTGTTCTTCCAAAGGACCAGGGTTCAATTCCCAACACCCACATGGCAGCTCACAACTGTCTGCAACACCAACACCCTCACAGGCAAAACACCAGTACACATAAAAAATTAATTTAAAAAAAAAAATGTTTAAAAAGTCGGGCGGTGGTGGCACATGCCTTTAATCCCAGCACTCGGAAGGCAGAGCCAGGCGGATCTCTGTGAGCTCAAGGCCAGCCTGAGCTACAGAGTGAGTTCCAGGAAAGGCACAAAGCTACACAGAGAAACCCTGTCTTGAAAAACCAAAAAAAAAAAAAAAAAAAAAAAATTAAAAAAAAATTAAATTAAAAAGGAGCTATTCCTTTAATTAAAAATAATTCTTGATTCTGTTATTAGGCCAAACTCTCATCACCATAACTAAAAATGACAATGAACAGTCAGTTACACTAAAAACATATCTTAAAATTTAGAATAGAAAAAAAAAAAAAAAAACTACCAACCTAAACTAACTCTAACTTAAAGAACTAGGTGTATCTCTGTGAGTTCGAGGCCAGCCAGGTCTCCAAAGCAAGTTCCAGGAAAGGTGCAAGCTACATAGAGAAACCCTGTCTCAGGAAAAAAAAAAAAAAAGAACTAAAGCATTATTTCTATTCCCTCAAAATTTCTCCCAAATACAATCACTATTTGTTCATAACTCCAGAAGTCAAGACTTGAGAACATATTGAGGGAAAACAAAACAATTTTTTTTGGTTAATTTTAAGCTTATTTATGGGATTTTATATCCATTTCCTGTTAGCATTTTACCAAGGTGGTTAACCTTGGCTGCTGTTTCCTAGGTAACTGCCTCTAGAGACTGTAATCTAGCCCCAGCACTGAACTATTCAGAGGGATGTGAATTTTTATAGGAAAAAAAAATAAAAAACAAATCATCAATCTGTTTCTATGTGAAAAATTAGCTTAAAGACAAAAAAACATTTTTAAGAGGGGTGGCAGCTGATACCCCAGACAGCTCTATTCAATTTATGAATGATCCTCTCTCTCCTCAAGACGGCAGGACTTCATGCAAATGAGCACAGAGGAAACAGTCAGCTGCATTATACAGCCAACCAATAGAAGCACAGCTCCATCTTGGCTGTGCACTGGACTGCATTACTAACAGACGATACCATCGCTTCAGCAGCATCTTTCCAGACAAGAGGTAGGCTTATTTGATCCTTTTTATTCAGTATCCATATCCTTCGGAAGCAGTAGGAAAATATTTTACCATGAAAAAAAAAAAAAAATCAAGCAGAAAGCATTATGCCTACAGAAAACATAAAAGCAATGTATTAACCCATTATTTTGTAGGATTTTATCATGAAAATGACGACTGCCCTGTGCTATTTGATAAGCATCCTTACCATCTGTCCCTTAATGGAAAATTCATTACATTTTCTACTAATCTGATCTATTCGGACCTTCAGTAAGACAAAAGCATTTGATGTTAACCTGGGTCTTTGCTAATTTCATTTTCTCAAAGCAAATTCATTTCAGAAGTCCGGTCTGTCTTAACAAAGGATGTTTCTCAAAGAAAAAAAAATCTAGAATAGCAAAGCCTTGGCTAAAGCTTTCTGATTATATGTACAAATTATATTGCCTGGTAAAAAGCAGTTATGGAGAAAGATAATTCAAATTATTTGTATTTGACTTTGAGTACTAATAGAGAGAATGCCAAGAAAATACCAGTTATAATTTTTATATTAAAAACACTTTAACACGTATCATTATGAGTTGTATCATACTATAAGCAAAGATAATTTATAGAACATCAGATTTCCCCAACATCTTCATTAAAATAATTCCTCACAGTAAAATCTACCTTACCATAAAATATAAGCCATGTTATTACACAAAAATCTTTTAAAATATCTTTTCATCATAAGCCACATAAAAATTCAAAATAAATTATTCTTAAACTGGTATTAGATACATACAAATTTTTGATAAACTACATCTTAAAATTAAATGTGTCCTAAGAAGAGCTGGTTAAGAAAGAACAGTAATAGTATGTAGTAAAATTATTCTCCTGGCTCAGAGTAATCAACCAAATTTCTGTAAATAGCATCTGAAGATGACAATCTTCTTCAGCAGATGCTAGCTCTCCACGATAGACTGTACTTAACCAAATAAATGTCCACCTTTCACCCTTCACCTCGATGCTATCGATATTTACTACTAAGGTTTGGGTTTTTTCTCCTGTTTTCATAATTTCTATTCCTTTTGTTTCCTCATCAGCGTTCAGGTTACACAAACAGTATCTTGAAAAACTCAAAAGGCTGCTGTAACAAGATACTCCATCTCTCAGGTTCAGCACAGCAGGTTAATTACCTAGAAACCATTCTTGCTTACCACAGGAAATATGGGAGCCAAGTAACACAGAGAACAACTGTCAAATAAGTTAATTTACACCTTACCATTTCAAATTGGTTGAGCATTCGTTAACGGCCTACATTTTCATATAGTATGTCTATAATTAGCATAAATGGAGGCTGTTACTGTTCACCAAGTCATCTTTCAAGTACACCCTATCTCAGAGTCTCAGAGCTTAAATTAAATGAGTTGCTCTACATTTAAAGGCTATTATGATTAACTGATCGTATTTCAAAGTGGTGTACTTAAAAGTTCCAGAGAATTCAATTTACAACTTTTTACCATAAATAGAGCTAAATCATAATTTCTAATCTGGTGATCTAGGGTCCCAAAACCACAAGACCATAAATATTCCACTGGGGCCTTTTGAAAAAGCTGAACAGGTAAAAGGAACATAGCAAAAATAACATGAAATAAAACCTACCTAAAATTATATGATTTGCTTTAAGGCTTCCCATTCCTATAATAAAATTATAAAGGGAGGATCCACCAAGTATAAGACTATTATTGTTTCTATTTTTAATCATTTTCTCCCAGTTTTTATAACATGCTTACAGCATTTCCTTGAACAAATTTCATGTTAACTGGAAAAATGTAGTCTAGAATAGGAAATCTTGATGATGTACTTCTTTTTGAGTGCTTAGTTAAACCAAATCCGTTGCCACAAAATGTAGTCTTTACCTTAAATCTAACACACAACAGATTACTGGATCTTCTCTCTACTTTGGAGGAATACACAGTAAACTGAAGGTGGGGTGTGATGTCTACCACACGTGTGACTTGTTTCAGGTATGTAGAGGAGCTAACTAAAGCAACAATGTCTTGATTTCCTCACCAGTTTCAACACTGTTGAAAGTGGCAAAACGTCCTAACATACAACCTAAGCTTGGAATACACGGTCTTTCTTAGTCACTGTTCTATTGCTGGGAAGAGACACCTTGACCACGGCAACTCTCAGGAAAGAGAGCATTTAACTGGAGCTTGCTTAAAGTTTCAGAGGTTTAGCACCATCATCGTGGTGAGGAACATGGCAGCAGGCAGACAGGCACACTGGAACAGTAGCTGAGAGCTACCTCCTGATCCGCAAGAAGAGAGCTTGCGCCTGGCAGGGGCTTTTGAAATGTCAAAGCCCACCCCCAGTGACACACTTCCTCCAACAAGGCCACACCTTCTAATCTTTTCAAATAATGCCACTCCCTGGTAACTGAACATTCAAATATGTGAGCCGATGGGGAGCATTCTTATTCTAACCACCACTCATAAACACTCCTTTCTAAACAGACACTTCCAGCAAAACACAAGGGCCTTTGGTAAGCATACTGTTACTCCACGGTCATTGCAAGCATAAGGACTATATGAAGTCTCACATGTAAATAAAGTACACTATCTAGGGTGGGGATATAAGGCAAAGGCAGGGAGCTCCTAACACAAACAAGGCTCTGGTGAAGTCTGGGTCTTCCATCCATCACTGTTACCTCTGCTCTTCAGAGAATCTGAAGCTGGGCAGTGGTGGTGCCTGCCTTTAATCCCAGCACTTGGGAGGCAGAGACTGGCAGATCTCTGAGTTACACAGAGAAACCATGTCTCAGAACGCCCCCCCCCCCCCCCCCGCCCCCGCCAAAAAAATAGGAAAAAAAATCTGAAAATTCATTCATGTTAACATAAAAACTGACAATATATAGATAGGTTCCTTGCATGAATATTCACATTATACTAGTGTCATAAATCTTAAAGGTGTTTCAAAAGACAAACATTGTAAAGTCACATAGACAAGTACCTTTATTAAAGAAGCCAGGTAAAAAGGACCTAGCCATGACACATATATACCACACCTACCCACAACCCACACACCTAAATTCCATCTCTAACCAAGTTTCTGAGTACCTGTACGTTTGTGTCCATGGTGTTTAGACTCAGAGACCTCGACAACACATACACTGGATCAGCCTATCAGGGCATCCACACCACACAACCTAAGAGGCACAACTTAATACTGCATTATATGACAACGGTACCATAAAGCATAAGGCAGCTTGTTTTGTTTTTGGTTTTTTGGTTTTGTTTTTTTTTCTCATAAAAATGTGCCCCACAGGGTGTGCATCAGGTGCATCTTATCCCTAACCCAGAAGCTATCTCCAACTGATAGCCACTTGTGAATGAAAACTTAGTTTTCTCCAAGGGATTCTCACTGGGGAAACAAATCACTCTTAAGGGCAGGCCCCATGCCCAACAGTAGATGGTCAACACCAAAGGAACTCAGTAGCTTCCTTGAAGGATCTCTGGCTCATAATGTTAAGTCAAGGCATTTTTTTGAACCTTGTAAGTCCTTTGCATATACATTACAGCTTCCAGTTTTATGTTTTTATGGGATCCCTATGTGTGTGCACACCTGACGTGTATGGGTGTATCTCTGCATCTGTTTCCTGTGCATTCCTTTGGCTCTTTTTAGTTTGGTTTTTGTATTATTCCGATTTGCTTTTGTTTTATCTTATTTCATTATTATTCCAGAAATGCCTAACTGTTTTCTAAGGAGAAACAGGAAGGGTATGGATCCAGATGGGAGGGAAGGTAGGAAGGAACTAGAAGGCATATGACGGGGAAGAACCATTATCACAATATATTGTATGAGAAAAATCAATTTTAAATTATAAAAAAAAATTTGCTCTGAAGAGAACATTCCAAGGATAAGGTAATTTTGATTTATTTTTATTTTATGTTCATTGGTGTTTTGTCTGCATGTATGTCTGTATGAGGGTGTCAGATCACTTGGCACTGATTACAGTTGTTAGTTGTGAGCTGCCGTGTGGTTGCTGGGAATTGAACCCAGGTCCTCTGGAAGAGCAGCCAGTGCTCTGAACCACTGAGCCATCTCTCCAGCCCCC